AACCAGTCAGGACCCAAGAAACAGAGGCTGGCTGCAAACCAAGACTACAAAAGGACTGGCCAACCTCCCATTTGGGAAGATTGCTCATGCGCACGCTTACTTAGATGCAAACCAAGAATCAAAGGGCTGACTTTTTCGGTGCCATTGCCACATACTTAGATGCAAGCACCAAACTACAAGAAAAGATTAAGTCTGCCTACACAAGAGATCCAGTCTATAGCCAGTTGATTGGCAAGGTGCAGACGACACCTCACGAAGTCCCGGACTATAGAGTAACACAGGGACTGCTGTTTGAAAAAACAAATGTCCATGACGGACTATGTGTTCCAAACAGCGAGGACATTTGTAGCATAATACTTGGGGAAAACCACGATACTGAGGGGCACTTTGGATGGAGGAAGACTTATGCTAACCTCCTACGCTCCTACATGTGGCCAGGAATGAAGCATGATTGCATCTCCTATGTGCAAGGCTGTCAGGTTTGTCAAAGGAACAAAAGTTCCACACAGCCTCCCCTTGGATTACTCGCACCGCTACCTATTCCGTCGGGACTCGGGGACTCTGTCTATAGACTTTATGGATACTAAGATAAAGAGCAGAAACAGGAAAAGTCAGGTTATGGTAATAGTAGACCGGTTTAGCAAGTTTGCTGTGTTTGTTCCACTCCCTGGAGAAGCAAGAACTGAATTGGTGATTAGGGAATTCTTTAATCATTGGGTGAAAGATTTTGGGCATCCCTTGACTATTGTAAGTGATAGGGACTCGCAGTTCACAGGTGAGCAGTGGCAGCAACTAATGCAGGTAACGGGTCCAAACTGACTATGTCTTCAGGTAGACACCCTAAGACAAATGGACAAACTGAGCAGATGAACAAGCTGCTGCAGCAAGTGGTATTGACTGGGATGAACATCCGCCAAAAGTTGCAAGTGCCTATAATAACTCTGTGCATCTAGCTACATCAAGAACTCCTACTGAACTGCATCTTGGGTGGCGCCCTCGAAGACCCATTGACTGTCTAAACCCTGATCACGTATAGAGACTTCCGCCGGGAACTAGGGAATTTGCTGTTCAATATCAGCAAGATTTGGAAAAAGTTGAAGAAAACATCAGTACAGCACAACATCAAATGATCAAACAGGCTAATAACCACTGCAGACCCTCACAATTTTCTGTACGAGATTTGGTCTGGTGAAGTCAAAAGAATTCCTCCCTGAGGAGAACATATCCCAAAAGTTATTACCTGCATATAGAGGTCTGTGGCAAATTCTGGATGCCATAGGTGATGTGGATGGCCCCTCGTATGTTGTTGAAATTCCTCCACATTTGCACACGTATCCGGTGTTTCATGCACCAAAGTTGCTCCCTTGCGTAAGTAATAACATGTTTCCATCACGCAGATCTATGATTCCCCCTGTTATGGATGGTAAGTATGAAGTGGATAGGATTGTTGGGGAAGATGTTTACAGATCTGGATGCCGGGTACACCACATCGACAATATAAGGTCAGATTTGCCTATCAAGAACCTACAGAGGATGCTGGTTATCGAGAGATGAACTGACAGAAACAGCACCACATATTGTGTCATATTATGAAAGAGCTAAGAGAGGAGTTGAACATAGTAGATAAATAAAATTGGTAATTTTCTCGGAGGACCTCGGAATTAGGCCGGCGAGAGTGAAAGGCCTTCCATGATTCAGACCCCAAATTCGGGTCTCAGGGCCAGAGGCCCTGGTCAAGAGCGGCCGAGTTCGTCAAATTCAGAAAAGTCACAGTCAGGTACCTCAGCAGTCTAATCCAACAGGCACCCAGCAAACAGTCACATCTTAGGGCCAAGAGTCACGTCTCATAATGAAAAGTCATATTGAAGAGTCACATCCCACGAGTAAAAGGGCAGTACCACAGGCAAGAGTTGTGACCCAGACGCAGGAGTCACTGTCCTTAGTCAAAAGTCAAGTTCACAAGTGAAAAGTCATCACTAAAGGCCCAATGTTATATGCCAAGTTGGGCGATGTACACATATAACCGAGGATCCGCAATGTGATAAAAAGGACTGAATGGACAATGCAGTGCAAGTAGAATCTCAACAAGCAATGTGCATTCTGATACATACAAAGATGGTGCTTTATAGCGCAGGGAAGACTTAGATACAAGTCCTGACCTGACCGGGACTATCACGTAGTGCAAGACAGCGCAGCAGAATGCTAGAATACCAATGTCTAGCCCAATCAACATTGCAACGCAGACCCAACATACATCATTCTCATCACAAGGTGTGAAGGGGCCAGGCGCCAGGTCCAGATCATGCACAGACGAAGAGGAGGGGAACAGACAAAGAAGAAGGGGAGAGATGGGAATGTCGTCAACACCAAGTCTTTGTTACAAGTCCCAAATAATCCCTCGTCAAAATGTCTGAAGCCCAAATGTCGAGTCTGGATCCAAATGTCACCAAGCTCTCTCTTTCTCTTGTAGTCTGCTGATGCAGTGAAGTCAGGTAGCGAGAGGGTGAGAGGGAGATGGTGGACTGAGAAGAGGAAGAAGAAGAAGAATCTCTCTCTCTCTACCGTGCCACGTACTAACCTGTGAAGTTGGTGCTGTGCTGCAGGTACCTCGAAGACGGAGCTGGAGCTATGGCGCTGTAGGTAAGTATCCCTGGCCTCCGCCCAATCTCTCTCTCTCTAGTACTACTCTAGCTCCTAAGAGCGCCCAGCGCTGAAAACTACTGCTAACGCTACCAGCACTGAAGACTACTGCTAGCGCTGCTACCACTCCTGCAGCGCTCCTCCAGGAGTGCTGCTGCCGAATCCTGAAGACTACCTCCTGCCTCCTGAACTGCACGTGAAGTGCCTGGGAAGTACCTAGGAACTACCTGCCGGCCTGCAGGGCAGGCTAGTCCTATATAGTGCTGGCCCGTCCAGGAGGCTGCTCTTGCCAATGCCGAAACGTGCCAGACCCTGGCGTTGAAGCTCAACGAGGGGTTGTCTTGAACCGGAAAGGCCCTGATTTAGCCTGAAACGACACAGGGCCTGTAGGCCCTTGTTTTCAGGTTTTCAGGCTGAAACGACACGGGGCCTGTAGGCCCTTGTTTTCAGGCTTTTGGCCTGAAAACGTCACGGGCCTGAAAGTGGCCCGTGCAGCCTGTTGCAGACGCAGCATGTAACACCCAAGCAGCAGTCGGCCAAGTGAAATTCGGGAAGGTTCCAGGCCTTGACATTCAGAAGCAGACAGGCCGTGGGGATGTGGTACCGGAACCAGTCAGGACCCAAGAAACAGACACGGCACGAGTTGAAGTGCAAACCAAGACTACAAAAGAACTGGCCAGCCACCCATTCGGGAAGATTGCTCATTCGCAAGAAGTGCAGAAGTGCTGGTGCACTTGTGCGCTGTAGCGAAGGGCAGAGTGCTGAAGCCAGAGTGCTGCACTAAGGGAGAGAGAGAGAGTGGGGAAGTGTTAGCGCTGGCAGGGAGAAGGCAGCCATAGCTGCGCCAGCGCAGAGTGTTAGTAGTAGACTTCAGATAGTTAGTAGGCTTATCAGTGGGGGTATTCAGAGTAGATCTTTGAGTAGAAGTTAGTGAGTGTGCATGCATGTAGGAAGAGAAGATACAGCGAGGACATAGCTAGACAGGAGACCAGTAAGGAGAGGGGTTACGCAAGAGAGAGAAGAGAAAACAGGAAGAGATACTTACCTGAGAGTTTATGCTGGTTGCTGGTTACCTTCAATATGCGCTGATGAGCGCTGGTGACTTGAACTCTTATTGCTCTTGTATAACTTGTTGGAATTCATAAGCTGCGTTATCTGGTCGTAATCTCTCTGGTCCTCAGTCTGAAATTCGCGTGATCTCATATATGCATGAGGTGTGAATATGTGCGCTCATTGGTGTTGAACTAAGAGGTTGGGCCAAAGGCCACGCCCAAGTCATAGAAAATTGCCTGATACAAGGCCTGCTGCTGTGGGTACTCTAAGCACGGCCTAAACATGGGTCCCAGAGGCCCTGCGTGCAACAGTTGACCAGGGAAAGCCAAAGGTCAACAGCAGCTCGGAAATGCAGGCTCACGCTCTGCGCTGGCTTGACATTGGACGGCGACGCGAGACTGCTCTGTGTTTACTTCAGCGCCAGCTGGATCAGAGACTATACTGACGTGGCGCTGGCCACACTGTCTGTTACCGAGACTTTACTGACGTGGCATTGGCCATACTGTCTAGTTGGGAATTCGCGAGCAGGAGAAGGATCAGGGTCGAAGGGGAGCTAACCTGTTGATGACGTGTAAACATTGCGCGCTGCTGATCGTCTTCACGAGGTATCTGCGCTGACAAGCGCTACAATGAGATCTGCTCTTTGTCAGATTGCGTCAGAGGAGACTGTTTGCCGATGTGGAGAGGGGAGATGCCCAAAGAAGAAGAGGGAAACTGAGGGTGTTCTATCTGCTACGCTGATGGATACTTTCTCTTCCACCCTCACAGTCTCATCTCCCTCCCTCCATCTTCTTCTCTGGTGACCAGACATTGGGCTACTTGATGATGTATACGATTATTTGGAGACATTGAGACCACGCTGAGACATTCTGTATTTTGACACTGACGAGCTTCTCTCCTGACTGGGTTCATTGCAAATAAGTCACAGATCACAGTGCAAAGTTGGAAACATGATTTTCTCTGATTACCCTTCACACAAATGATGGATATTGCTGCACATGAATGCTTAACACATTTCACTACAGGTAGCAGAAGAGGAAGATGTTGAAACGAATCATTAAAAAAGGACACAGAGAGGCAAACAGAAATACCAAAAAGTGGTCCTTCGGGACATCCGTTAATATTGGAACGATACAGAGAAGATTAGCATGGCCCCTGGGCAAGGATGACACACATAAGTCGACAAATGGTCCCCCCCCCCAAAAAAAAAAAGAAGAAAAAAAAAAAGAAAAAAAAAGAAAAAGAAAAAGAAATACTGAAAAGTGTGTGATCACTGATCATTAATGAAACAACACCATCACACTTACCTCCATGCTGGAGCGTACAGTCTCTCTGACGATTGCGAACTCATTATGATCCTTCTGACTGGCACAGAAACAAAAAAGACCCAGAAACGAAAGGGGAGTCAGGTTCCATTAGTTCCACTGACCACAGATCAGAACTCTATTGAGGGCATTATCTCTGAGTTAACCCACAAACTGTTGATCACACTTGGCAGATAGTTGGGGATGCCAAGCCTTGTTCTTTTTTCCCTTTTGCACAAAGGAGATTAACCCGTAGCATTATCTTGTCCGCCTGATTCCATCGGCAATCGAACACATGATCTGTTTACTAGCAGTCACATTTATGTGGACACAACGCCGAACTCAAGGCCCTGGGTCAAATCTCTCTCAATCTCTTCTTCTGGTTCCATTCATGATTCTTGATTCTGTTACGAAATTGACGGGAGAAGTTCTGGGAGAGGTGGCAAGACAGGGAAGAGACTCGTTTCCATTAAACCACCAGTGCTTGGTCCATACATCGGCCACAGGCCCCTCACCGCGAGTTTTGGAGGCCCGAAATGCGACCCCAGCCATTGATGAAAATGATCGAGGCGCGGCAACCCCGGAAGTTGCGCCCGTAAACAAGCCGCATTTTTTTTTTCAAGCGGGGCCAAGCACTAATGGTTGAATGTGTCTTGACAATATCATTGTGAAACCGTCAACGCCACCACCCACACGATGGAGCAGATTCCTTCATCCATGGCGACAAGTCAGAGAACGACTGCTAAAAGGTGAGAGCTCGCTGACAGGTTCCCCCCATCTTACCTGAAGAGAAACTCCAACGCTAACTCCAGGTCTTCTTTGTCATTGCCAGTGACAGCTCTTGTTGCTGCAACTGCTTCACTTGTGCAGGCAAGGTTCTCCCTCACAAAAAGACGTTCTGGCTGCAAACAATAGGATTTCAAAGTACAGAAAACGGTAAGAGGCTCAAATTCTTTGGAGGTAAAACAAGGCCCCAGCCCGCTGTCTTGCACTGCTGCTGGAGAGCTAGCACTGGAAGAAGGCAGACACAGAGCGAGAGTAGTCATGGTTAGGATGGACTGTGCAGTGAGAAAGAAAGAACTACTCAAAAAGTATTTGGCGTTCGCGCCTCGGGTTAGCGCAAAAAATAGTGTTGCTTTTTCGCACCCGCACCTCCAGCCCCCCACACCCGTGCGGGCACCACTCCTGTTTCGACTTGGAATTCGAATTCCGCCGCGCTCGCGGCGCTGCCTCATCGCGTCCGAGCCCACTCCCGTGTCGACGTCGAACTCGACGTACCTAAGCAAGCCACGACGAAATCAAGCGGCCCGGCCCATAGCTCCACACCACGACAAAGAATCCCTGCACGGGGGTGCCGGGCAGGCGCAACCAGACCATAACTACGTGTGCTATCATCAAGAGGAGAAGCCATGCCCACGGTTAGGCCACGACGTTTTCCTGGCCAGGAGATTTCAGTAATTTAGAGACAGTGCTGTCTTGGACGATACTTGAGTGGCTACGGCCTCTTCTTCATCTTCATGTTTCATGAGATGGTCTAAGGGAGGTTACACGACAAACAACAATCGAGTGAGAACCATGGTAACCCCGGACCCGGACACCATACACTTCCGGACTGTCTTCCGGACCGGTGTCTGGACCGGTCCGGACTGTCCGGTGATCCGGACATCACCGGACACCGGACAGTCCGGACCGATCCCCGGGG